TCAGGCTCTAGGAGACCACCTCCACCTCCAGTGCCTAACCGTGATCAAGTCAAGTCTCGTCCAGCACCACCGCCTCCTCCGCCTCCACCTCCAGCGCCTCGGCGCAGGAGCACCAACCCCTTCCTGCGCGAGGACGCTCTCGCTCAGCTTCAGCTACGAGACGAAGACGTGGCAGCTGTAGCTTCCCCAGCTGAAGGTGACGTGGAGCGCCCCTTCGTACCGTCCCGTTCGAGAAATGCGAGCGAGAGCAGCGAGGGCTATGTTCCCAAATCTCCAAGCAATCCTTTTGCGAGGTCTCGCCAACATTCATTCATGAACGGCCAGTGAACAGCTCTCTTTGTCTCTCATGGCAGAGTCTTGATCGTCCTCTCGAAGCCAGCGCATACATCAACCTATGACCCGCACGTAGGGAGCATACGTACAGCGGTCTTGCTGGGAGATCCGTCGGCTGAAACACAGAGGTCCGTCAACTCAGACACACCCACGAAGACTTGGAAAGATTTACCCCAAGTGAAATTCATCTCTTACACGAGTCCACCTTGCACTTCTACTCCATCGTGCGCCATTACTAGCAGACGAACGCTGCAAATCTGTATCCTTGCTCGCCCCGCCTCTCAGTCTCCCACTGTTCTCCGAAGTGACTAGTCGAGGTCTTCTTTATTTGCGCAGAAATGTCGTGATCTACGCCTCCAGAGCGTGTGCAATCAGGTTGAGGGACGAGAACGGTTGAACGAATTGCAAGAGATGGTTCGAATGAGCTGTGTGGGTGAGCATGCGAGCGCAGACGGAGAGCCATGCTGCGCGAGCTGCCTAGACCTTTGTGCTCAAATTGGACCTGTTCATGGTGGCGATCTTGTGAGCCTCCTCCTTCTTGGCCAGCACGTTACTGGTACCATCGAGCACGGCGCAGACCTCGAGTGCCAATCTAGCCGACAGATCCCTGTCGTTTCTCTTTTCGCTAGCATTGATGATGCCCTGAATAGCCCTTCTCTGTCCTTGCCTCTCGTTCAAAGCGATGGGAACTTGAAGCGTCCTTGCTCCTTGCCTTTGACTCTGCATACGCGTCAGGGGAGAGGCTTGTTGGATGGCACGACTCAGCGCGACCACTGGATTGGTGCGTGTCATCTGCGAAAGCAACTCCAGCATCTTGTGCACTTGACGCGAGGCGCGCTGCTTCTTGCCATCCTTCATGAGGATATTGATGAAGCGTTCCAAGATGGGATCTACCCTGAGCGGTAGGCTGTCCTTTGTGTACCCAAATTGAGCAGGGTCAGAATCGAAGAATTGGGAAGGAGCGGTGGTGGGAATGCCCGGTAGTTGTACCGCCTCTTGCGCGGCTGTGGAAGATGATGCGGGTGGCTTTGCGCTGGATGGACCACCGGAAGATGATGCGCCTGGACGCTTCCGTGCCGAGATCCTACCACCTGGAAAGAGAGGCTTGACTTCGTCCGACTGAGACGAGCCCTGGTCAAACAGAGACCGGCGCTCCTCGGCTCGTCGACTGCAACTCGAAAAGGATGCCGAGGCTCCCCGGACGGATGACCCAATGGTAAGGGCGCCGGAGCGCGTAGAAGTGTTTCGCGACAAGAATGCTAGGCAATGTGGCCTCATGTCGGACAGCGGCGGCTTTGGGAAAGATCGGCAAAGAATGCAAGCTTTTGAGCAACAGATGCAGAATTGTGAGGCTCCTGTGTCGGAATGTGGCTCACGCTGCGAGTCGAGAACGCGAACGGTCTAGCTAAAATGCTTTGGCCTTCCCTGCAATGCAGCGTCACGCGCGGGGCTGCCTGGGACAAGAGCTGCGATCGCTGACGAAATGAGAGCCTCGGCACAAGTCTTGAGTAGCGTGAATACTGCCTCGAGCGTCGGTTTGGTGTGAATAGCAAACAAAAAGGTGAGATGTGTGAGGATAGAACATGTGATCACCTCGCGGCTGCACAGAGGCTACCCTTCGCGTGCAAGCTGCGAGAAGAAGCGGCAGAGACGAGTCACGTGCGTCCAAAATTTGGACGCTGTCCATCATCCTCGTGCAGCTCATCAAGGCGTGGAACTCGAATCTTGCAGGACTTCTCCTTTGGCCCAACGGGCGCGGTCATTTCCTCACAAGATACCTCATACACCATACTGGGCGCACACACATCAGCAACGTGTACAAACACACACTTCGAGCCTGTTCCTCGAGCATCAGATCCAAACATTGTCTGCTGCGACGCATTCTCCTGGGTCAACATGGAAGCACCTCTGCAAGCATTCACGGAGTCTGGTCTGGCGTCGAGCAGGTCTCGCAGCTCTGGCGGCAGTTCAAAGTATCGCGGCGGCAAATCCAAATCTTCAAACGTCTCTGACCGATTGAACACTCCGGGCGCTTCTAGCCTCCCCCCTCGCAAAAAGCGCAAAGGAGGCAAATCATCCACCAACGTTTCCTTTGACGAAGCGAGCAGACACGAGTACCTCACTGGATTTCGAAAGAGAAAACAGGAGAGAATCGAAAAGGCCAGAGCCAATGCGCTGAAGAGAGCTAAAGAGGAAGCAAAAGCAGCTAGAAAAGAGGCTAAAGAGGCAAAGAAAAAGAAGGCGAAGGAAAATGTAAAGTTGGAAAGGTTGGCTTTGGGCTTGGGGTCTGAAGAGGAGGAAGAGGAAAATGATGAGGAAGATGAAGGGGAGGTCGAGAGGGAGAGACCGATCGAGGGTGAGTTGAATGAGGCGAGCGTGGAGCTGTATGCGTGACCGTCTCCTCAGCGCATCCTCACTTCGTACTTCTCAGTTTCTACCTACGAAACACCGGATCATCAAACTTCAGTCACGGTGTCAGAGTGGGATCCGACAGCTGATCCGGCAGAAGAAGAATTGAGACTCGCTCGGGCTAGTCAAGCAGCTTCCACCCCTTTGGCGCCGGCAACTCTTTCTGTCTCAAAGCTGCGTACGGTAGACGAGCTCCCAGCCAGTTCCCGTCGGCTAGCCAAAAAATCGCAGTCTCTGCTCAAGAAGCAAGAAGCTGCTCGATCGCGCAGCGGCTCGGCTCGACGGGGCAATGGCAAGAAGGGTTGCTTGACTGCTCAAGAAGCAGCAGCAGCTTCCATCTCTGCATTGGTAGATGAGAGTCCGCACCAGAATGCTGAAGAGACTACTTTTACCGATCCGATACTGGGCGGAGGAGGATCCAAACCGTTCTTGGCTGGTAAGCACAGGGCCCAGCAATCCTACAGTACTGCAGCGGATCGCAAAGCTCAGAATGAGAAGTTGAAAGAGAGAAGAAAGAGACATATGGAGGAGAGAAAGGAGAAGGAAAAGAGGATACTGCAGAATGGGGGTAGAGCGGCTATTGCATTGAGAAAGAGAGGAACAGGAAAGATGGGCAAGGGTGGGAAAGGCAAGGATTTGAGGAAGAAGAAAACGCCGAGGGACTGAGAAGGGAAGAGTCCAATCGATTATTTGTACACTACTGCTCTGCGAGGCATTGCATGCTGAGGTGCTAGCATTGGCCCTCTTATCGTCAAAGCTTGCTTCAAGTGATTGATAAAAGATCATCATCGTGTCTTTGCGGGCTGAGAAGAGCCTGATTTGGTCGGGTAAAAGCTAGGGTATGATACACAGATATGTGGTTGAACAAGTTGCCGCGTGGTACGACAACGGATCGTGAAAGGCGTACAGATGGACGTCGAAAGAAACTTGGGGGTAGTCATATGTCTAGACTGAGGCCAGGTGTTGGAGTGGTACGAAAAGTTGCGATCACGGGAGCTTTTGTAGAATGTTTGCTCACATCCTTTGCCCTTCATGGTACAACCCAACATCACTGCTCAAGGCGTCTCTTGGTGCCCATGGAACCACTGCGGAGTCGGCCTTCGTTGGTACTCTGGACGTACAACGCTTGAGGCTGCACGCGGCATGTGGAGAGCCATCGGTAAATGTTCGGTGCAGCGCGGTTCAAGCACAGCTGCTTACCAAGTAATTGAGACCTGTGCTGTTCGTCGTATAACGTCTCTTCTTGGTGGTCGAGACAGCGTCCATTCCGATGCCCTCTACATCCACGACCGGTGCAGTCTGGTGGATTTCGGTACGCGATCGCTTATGTTGTCGAAGCGCGTTCGGTGGAGATTCTGCGGAGACCGACCAGAGGGCATTGTCGGTTTGAATCGTGGAGTGGTGTGAGCTACCGCTTGTGAGCGGCGAGACGTTCGATGTTGCAGAGGCAACTGCTACATCGCTGGACGTTGTCGAGACTGTGGGGTCACTGGGCGCCCTGCCAAACTGGTACAGCTCGTGCCAGCCCAGAGCGAGACTGTCCATAAAATCTTTAGATACGCTGTACTCGCCGGTGAGGAGTAGAGGCGCGTTGCCGGTTCTGTGATGGCTGACACCGAGCTGCTGCGCCTGCGCCGTCCAAGAACAAAAGGGCAGAGTGTGCCTGCTCAGCGCTGGCCAACGATTCATAAGACCGAACCTTATCACTGACCATGGTAAGCCTTGGCGCGGGTATAAACGTCGAGGCGGGGTTGCGGCTCGCGATCAAGATTCTCTGCTCACGTCGACGCGTGCGATCGAGATCACGTTGTAGAGCTGCAATCAGCAAGCGATCGTGATCAAAGGCACTCCATTTGAAAATCCTTTGCTGTTTGATGGACTGCAGAGCACCCACGCTGGAAAGACGACATCGCCTGTTCAACAAAGTCTGGCGAAGGACGTCCACAGATTGTAAGCTCACAAAGATAGTGCTCGTAAGAGCGCGGTGCCCGCTCCCAGCTGACACCAGTCCTGACCTTCACGAGTGGTACGGAGATCGCTGTAGACACCTGATGAAGGTGGCTCAACAAACTAAGCTCGATCTAGAAAGCTTGTTCACAGCTTTCGAAGCTCACCTCTGTGCGAGCGAAGGTTCCGTGAGATGGAGGCCAAGGTTAGAGAGTGAAAGAGCAACTCTACTCGGTCGAACTCACTCGCTAAGCTTGTTGAGATTGAGGATATCATAGCCGACGACTCGAAGTCTGAACACCAGGATGCGAATGATGACGCACGCAGTGATCCAAATGTCTCCCCGCCAGCTGAAAGCGACCACCGGAGTTTGGGAAACTTTTGGCTTGTGCTTGCGCTGCTCGACGTTTGTCGCGGCTGGAGGTTCATACGCTGGCAACATGAAACGATGAATCGAAATGGAGCTCAAGATGCTGGAAACTTCACCGAGGTGATCTGAGCCCTCTTGCAAAGACTGATGCCAGATGAAGTCGGGGTCAGTGACAGTCTCTAGTCTGCGCGAGTCATTCGCTTCGATGGGCTGGGTGAGGTAATTTGACCGCGAGTAGGCAATCAGATCGAGCGGATCCAGGAGAGACATGCCAGGTGCTAGTATGCCCCCAGACACTGCCGTCGGAGACCGCAAGGCCAAAGGTGCTGTGCTGACAAAGTGTTTCAACTGTCGATGGAGAACAACATGTTGAAGCTGTGGGTCTGCAGGTCCACCATATTGCTGCGCATAATCATTTGCCAGTGAGGTCGCAGGCTCTTCTGTCTTCAGGCTGACCTCGATTTGGCTCGATTCGGGCTGAGCATAAGCATTGTGACTAAATCCCCCTGGGAGAAGTTCTTGAAGTGGATCGACGGCACCTGCATGTGGCCCAGGTCGGTCAGCTGTGTGTCAAAGTAGTCCGCCTTCTTGTCCTGAAGAGACAGCACACCTAGACACTCACCAATGTCGACGCGGGCTTCAGACCAATCGACGGAGCGTCGAGCCTGAGAGAGCAATGGT